AAGAAAGATATGAATAATGTGGATGGTTAGTATCTGATAAGATAACTCCTGTCAGGAGTTTACAAGATTTAAGATGTCTGTCCACAACCATATTAATAATGACCTCAAAAGATTCATCATACACCTTGCTAACTACTTTCAGCACTCTCGGCAGTACGGCAAAGTCTTTTTCTCAAAAGTCCAGGAAAGAATAGTTGAGAACAGTAAAGAGTAATAGGTAATATGCATGAATTTACAAATTGTAAGAGTAAATATCGAGTAATCACAAAAGCATGCAGCCTCTTTATGTAGTAAGCCAAACGGTAAACGTTTTTCGATAACAGTAAAACACGAGAAGGCCAAGAGAGACCAGAGGAAAAAGTAACACCAAGATAATTCAAGTACCTGGGGAGCATCGTTGATAAACAAGGAGGATCGGATGCAGATGTAAAGGCAAGGATTGGCAAAGCAAGGGCAGCATTTCTACAATTGCAGAACATATGGAACTCAAAACAACTCTCAACCAATTTCAAGGTGAGAATCTTTAATACGAACGTCAAGACAGTCCTACTGTTTGGAGCTGAAACGTGGAGAACTACTACGGCCATCATCAGGAAGGTACAAGTATTTATAAACAGTTATCTACGCAAAATACTCAACATCCATTGGCCGGATACTATCAGCAACAGCGTTTTATGGGAGAGGACAAACCAGCTTCCAGCTGAAGAGGAAATAAGGAAAAGACGTTGGAAGTGGATCGGACATACATTAAGGAAATCACCAATGTGCATCACGACTCAATCCCTAACTTGGAATCCGGAAGGGAAGCGGAAAAGAGGAAGGCCAAAGAACACACTACGCCGGGAAATAGAAGCCGATATGAAAAGGATGAATGTTAACTGGAAAGAACTGGGAAGGAAGGCTCAGGACAGAGTTGGATGGAGAATGCTGGTGAGCGGCCTATGCTCCTCGACGAGGGGTAACAGGCGTAAGTAAGTAAGTAAGTAAGTAAGATAATTCACCTTCGACATTATGTTGATCAAGGAGTCTCCAATGGCACAGGCATTATGGGATCTCAAAATAGTGTGTAGATGCTGTTCATGTTTCAGGCTAAATTTAACACCTTGACATTTAAATTAATTAAGAGACCATTACCAACAGACCACCATTTAATATGAGACAAAAACCCATTCATTTCTGTGGTATATAAAGAGGTGGAAATCGGCATACATACAGAGAGGTCGTCCGCATATTTCACAAGTGTTTTCTGTGGAAGATGGCAGATCATACAGATAAAAGAGAAAAGAAGAGGTGGAAGAACAGCTCCTTGTGGCACACCTTCATTTGACAGGAGAGACGTTGAACACTTTCCTCCAAACGCAGTGTACTGTTCTCTTCCAGAAATATAGGAACATAGCCAATTGGTTATCCAGCTGTCAGTGTTGATGCTGATCAGCTTGTTAAGTAAGAGGTGTCTTGGAATAGAATCGAAAGCAGAAGTAAAGTCCAGGAAAGCGCATCTAACATACTTCTAACCCTTTTCCAACCCGAACACTATATTGTGATGCAGAGCAGCAACGGCATCTAGTGTGCTTCTTTTGCATTTGTAAGCAAACTGATATGGATCACAGTGCTCTTTTATTTCAGGTTGAAATGGGAGTATCAATAATTTTTCCATTATTTTGAGGAAAGGCGAAGTTATTGCTATGGGTGTAAATTCCACATTTTTATCACCAGATACTTTCTTTGGTATAGGGATTATCTTTATCTTTCTCCACATTTTCGGTATGAGATTAGTTGAGAAAGATCTGTTAAAAATATTCATGAATGGATATTCATCACATTTTTAAAAAAGAGGTTTGGAATACCATCAGGTCCTACACAGTAGGATGAATTCAGTGACTGGAGACATTTTTGGACATCATTTTTAGTGAAACTAGGAACACAATTATTCTTCAAACCTCCTGATATAGGGAGCATGACATCAGATGACTAACATACGAAAGGATTATTTAAGTCACAAACATTCGGCTGGTTATCGCTTCTAATCTGCCTGTCACCTGTAAGTTCTCTCAAGAGTTTCCACATACTTGGAGAGTTTCCACAAGATAAGAGTTTCTGAGCATACACACAGTTGAGACGTCTAATCTGTAGGTTTGTTAGACCGTTTAGCCTACGAACTTTGATAGTTTTTCTCCCTGTACATTCTTTCTTTTACCCTCCGTAGTCGTTTTAATTTTGGAGATTTAAGTCGATGGAAACATAAAAAACGGTTTCAGTGGGACAAGCATCAAAACAGAATTTAAGATAACAGGTGATAACATCAGTGGTCAACAGTGAGTCAACTGTAAATAGTTCCCAGTTAGTCGTACGAAACATGTTTTTTCAGATTTTGTATATATTTTTTGATTAATTCCTATATATGACTTTTTTGGTCTATTGTAAGGGTGTACTCTTTCCATTTTTTCCATATATTTTAGATCGAACACGAATTATACAGTGATCCGAGCTGGACAATGGAGCGCGTTTACGAGCCACATATGTATCCACATCATTAATGAAAATGAAGTCTAAGTGAGCATCCAAACAAGGAGGAAAATTTACTACATTTTTGTGATCTAGTGATGTACGGAAGCTACAGTAAATGAATTAAAATTACCACCTAAAATTGAAAGTGAACTACTGAAGGCAGTAACGGCGAATTCAGTAAATTCATCAGGGAATATAGATTGCCCAGATGATGTGCAGTCTGGAGTTATGTAGATGTTGGTAACAAAAATATTTGTATTTATTCAGGTGTTTTTGAAGGCACGTCAAGGTTAGACAGTCGATGAAGTCATTTGAAAACTTTAAACAAGCAAAAGTAGGTCGACACCAGTTACACCGCCCCATACACCACTTTTTATTGCTTGACCGATCCTGATGATAGATATTGAAATCACCTAGTGGTACTAAGCTATCATCCTGTAAGTCAGTTAACCAAGATTCTTGAATTGTGATCACATCACAATTACGATATATTATTATTATTATTATTATTATTATTATTAATGGCTTTATTCTATATTATAATTACATGTTTTGACTTGGTAGGAATTAAAGATAGTTCACCTTGTTAATTAGTGATCGGCAGTTAAAATTTAGCAGCTCGAAAATCGACATTTGAATAATGTTCATTCTCTTTAATGCATATTGCCAACCACCACGATATCTCTTATTGTACTTATTTGTAATTTTTGCAGCGAAAGGATGTAAGATTTTCATAAACGTTCCTGTATAGGTTATGCGATTAATAGATATGATGAGGTGTTAAAACAAAATAAAAAGACAGACTTGTTAAAATATTTAGATGGCAGAGACAGGTAGCTCAGATATTCAAGCAGGTCATTTATTTGAGGTAATACTACGGGAATGTTTGGAAATATTTTGATATTCCGACAATTAGGCTGACTACATTTGCTTCAATTGTGAAAACATTTTATAGAATAAGACTGAACATCCTTGACAAACATAAATGGATCCAGTTAGTATTGTTTGTTTGAATCTTCCCATCGATGTGTTAGGACTGCAACTGGTCAGTCTCTAATTGGCATACGTGCATACGGTGCGTATTGCCTCGATATAGCCTTAATTCACAAGTATGGTAAGCAAAGATGGATGGTGGCTAGCAGTGGAATCCAGTTTGATGCGCGTTTCGTCCTATTTGTGACTCATCAGCTGGACGTACCTGCATCTCAGAGTTGATATTCACTCTGGGACTCGAACCCAGTACCCTCGCTTCAAACGCAATCGCGTTATCCACTCGGCCACTGAGTCCTGATAGCCACTTGCTTGTGCGATGGGGTGAAGTTGAAATTCACTTAGTATTGTTTGTTTGAATCTTCCCATTGATGTTTTAGGACTGCATCTGGTCAGTCTCTAATTGGCATATGTGCATACTGTGCGTATTGCCAGGATCCAGGATTTATTTTTATTTTAACAAATATATGATACAAACTCAAATCAACTTGATTAGAATTTGATGAGACTAAATGAGTTATAAAAAAACATTAAATTTGCTAACCAAGATGATTGCATTCAGTTTAAACAACTATAAATTGAAATAATTTAAAACCAGTATTCTTCACGAATAAAGATATGCCTTGCTGACCAATGCAAATTTCCAAGAAAACCACATCCACTGATTTCAGTTGATCAACCTCAACTACCTAGATGACTCTCTTAAGCTTTTATTAATCTCATAATCTGTTATTCAAAGGTTGTAGATGGAGGATGATCAAAAAGCAGTTATACAACAAATAATTTAAATAACGAACTAATCCTAGCTAGATTACCATCTGGAGGACCTGAACGTCCATTTCGTTCTAGTACAGGATTCTCTAGAGGTCAACATCCACGAACCCGCATCTGAGAAAAGAACCTAGGACCATCGGTCTCGCGCTCGAATGATTAGTCTTGAAACCATTGATCCGGCATCCATCGGCTGAATATTCGAAGTACTAAAATAGATTTCTCGTTAAATCAGCTCAAGGATGTTGAAATCCATGGTACAGATATCGGCATATTAAAGTTTTACTAAATGGTCGTTTTGAGTTGTAAACACTGTTGAAAATTTATGTGAATAAGTCTAGTGGGTTATAAAAGCTATCAATATTGAAAATAATATAAAAAAAACTACTAATTCAAGGATTCTGATTAAACGAGGATATATTCGGAAGTGTACAAAACTCAAAAGTGTAGAGATGATTCACGCCGAAAATTTTAATGTTTGGTCATTTTTGTGAGGTGAACATGATTTTCAACAAAATGAGGTACTAAATTCTATGTATTTTTTAGAACGTTTTGATGGGTAAAATAAATAGGTTTTAGACCAAACTATGACTGAGGTTCTAGCAAAACATTCGTAGTTAAATAATCCGAATAGTTAAGTTATACATTTCTGTTGACCTGCCAATAAAAATTGTTATCTCATTCTTTTCATATATATATATATATATATATATATCAGTTAAATAACTTACTAAATGATCAAGAGCTGAAAGTATTTGTGAAGAATAGTTTCTCGATGTTTTTTCATCCAATCGACCAGAACGTTTTAAATATGAATTAAGTTCTCCTTTAGGCGCATATTCCATAACTAAATGCCAACGTTGTAATACCTCATGTGCTTCATATGCACGAATTATATGTGGATGATGTAAACGTTCCATGTTTGTTAGTTCTTGAGAAAGTAGACGTCGAGTTTTCTCATCAAATTTAGTTCTGTCAATGACTTTGACTGCAACCTCGACTAGTTAACAAAAGTGGGATAAAAAGAAACGGTAACTGTAGTAAAGGCGAAAATGGACCATTTCACCAAACAATATGGTGTTTATGAATTTCTAAATGAATTTGTTTCTATTATACAATAATAATGACTAGGTCAGAGAATTAATTTTCGAAATTTGAGTAAGAATCAATGATTAGTGATGTTTATCTCTATCGGGTGTGAAGCACGTACTCATCGAATATAATAAAACACGACGAGTTAGTATCTCGGGTTGATTGATGATAGATATATCAACACCTGGATGTGGTCCCAGGAGTTTAAATGTTAGGTTTTTGACTCAAGAACTGAAAGTTCTAGGTTCGATCCAAGGTGGAGTCATAGATGTGCACTGTCGAAGGGTCCCATACTAAGGTGAAACATCTATCCATAGCTCGCTAATTTTCAGTACTTGTTTAACCTACGTTGTTTCGTTATCTCAAAAACATTAATAAAATATTCGGCTTATTCTTCGTTTTAATAAGTCTCTGATCATACACTTGATTTGGTACATAATGTCTCCTAGTTAGAAGCACTTTTTTGAATATTTGTAGGATGCAATACAGTTACCATCTATGGCAGTTAATAGTTACATAACATAGCAGACTGGCAGGAGGTAGAAGTGTGAAGCATTGAACTTCATCTCAGCTGTCTAAATGTGAAAGTGTGTTATGAAAACTAATATGTCAACACAAGGGGTTTTTTGTGGAGATTTAGTACTTTTTTTATAGTTAAGATCATGAGTCAATTGAAGCTAGACCATCGTGGAAAACCTGGAAGCACTGGACGGCCGATTCGTCTTATTATGGGACTCCTCAGCAGTGCGCATCCACGAACCCGCTCTCTCGAGATTCGAACCCAGGACCTACCAGTCTCGAGCCAGAGCCCTTAACCGATAGACCACTGAGCTGGCATCCAACGGTGTTAATGTCTAACCTCAACCAATCCACAAAATTGCGCAACCATCTTCCAATGTACTGAGGTAGATACCTGTCTCTACCTGACATGGATTAGCTCCACTGGCCACGACTTCTCACTAGAACTCCAGGAATTACCTCAAGGAGCCAGTCACTGTGAGCATATGATCATTATCACAAGGGGTTTTTGTGGAGATTTAGTATTTTTTTATAGTTAAGATCATGAGTCAATTGAAGCTAGACCACCGTGGAAAACCTGGAAGCACTGGACGGCCGATTCGTCTTATTATGGGACTCCTCAGCAGTGCGCATCCACGAACCCGCTCTCTCGAGATTCGAACCCAGGACCTACCAGTCCTAGCGACTGGCTCCTTGAGGTAATTCCTGGAGTTCTAGTGAGAAGTCGTGGCCAGTGGAGCTAATCCATGTCAGGTAGAGACAGGTATCTACCTCAGTACATTGGAAGATGGTTGCGCAATTTTGTGGATTGGTTGAGGTTAGACATTAACACCGTTGGATGCCAGCTCAGTGGTCTATCGGTTAAGGGCTCTGGCTCGAGACTGGTAGGTCCTGGGTTCGAATCTCGAGAGAGCGGGTTCGTGGATGCGCACTGCTGAGGAGTCCCATAATAAGACGAATCGGCCGTCCAGTGCTTCCAGGTTTTCCACGATGGTCTAGCTTCAATTGACTCATGATCTTAACCATAAATATGTTAAGTTTGACTCTTCTCGGACCTGTAAATTCACACCATTGAGGACTCTTGTAATAGAACAAGACAACTACTCAGCGCCTCTTGGTATTGCTCGTCAGGTCATAATGCTGATTTTAAACTTTGAAATTTATTCGGCAGTAATTCTATGTATGATTACTTTTATTCTGCTAACTGACCAAGTCATTTTAAATTAGAATAATTTAGGAAGTACTTTTGAGATGAAGTTTGAAAATTTACATGATGAAAACTAGACGAGCTACAGTATTTTATCAGTAGTTGGTTGTAACCTGTATCCACGTTCAATTTAGTGGTTTGAATAAAAATGCAAAGGAATCAGAGGTATACAACAAACACAACTCTATAGAGATCAGAAATTCAGAATTTATATAAGCTATTCGATGATCATCAGCAACCATATATTACGATTAACTTTTTCAAGCCAAATTATTAGTGAGATACTGTGCTATGTATATAATTTGCATAAATAGCATACACTACCTTCGTTTTGTGTAAAACCTATCGTTAGAAAAGAGGGGTTTAAGTGTGTAATAATCCATGGCTTGTAGTATTCTACTGGTCAGGAAGAATCTGCATTAGTTTTTAAATGACTTGACTAGAAGTATTGATGTAACCACAAATCATTTGTCAAATGATGGTCGCAGTTATTTTGAAGTCTAAAACTTAATTTGGAATCAAGAGTTTTGAACAATCAAATTATTCAGAGTACTAGTTCTCTTCTGCAACTTCTAACAATTTTTTCAATAAACAGTGAATAATATATTATCACGATTAACGTTTTCTACGTGCAAACAGGAAGATTAGGTGGTTTATTGTTTGGTGACTTGTAAAGTCGGATGAACTGAGTCTATTAACCGTGAAATGCTAACTTTGTAAACGTATTTTAACCTAAATTTCCTAGCCAAATAATTTAATATCTTTTTTTTCAGTTACAAAGACAAGAATACTAGTTTAAGTTACAAACGAAACACTGTTTTATCGAACGAATTTCTACTGGTAAGGTGCCACTTAACAGATCTTTACTACTATAAAATATTCGTATGTGCTTTTACGCATATGAGAGTGGTGTAGTTAGGACTGTTAGATAAACGTCACAACTACATTTCTTAAATAGAATACACAAGTTAACATTTTTTCCAAAAACTACACAAACATTAAGGTACCTAATAAGGACATGCTTAGCATTTGATGTCCGCAAAAAAACTAACAGTTTATGAAACTTAATTAACCATATTTGTTCAAATGCCGTTTATGAATTGTGGGTGGTCGATAAGATTAGTTGTTATCATAAAATTATTCTTAGCTTATGTTGTTTTTTGTTTCATTGGAGTGTAGCCATAATTAGCTACGGTAATTTTCTGTCAAGATGTTCATTTTAAGTGCGTTTAGCTGAAACAAAACAAAAAACCGACATTTGCAAGTTTAAAAATTTTATTGAAAAATATGTAAAGTTTAAGCAAATACCATTTAGACTTAATCTGATATCTACAACTATTGAAGTAACAGCTGAGTTAGAAACATCTCAGATATATTTGTTATCTAAATAAATAAAAGTTTGTGTCATAGAGCTTCGTGAAATGGCTCTAGTTTGTTAAGTATGCCAAAAAAATCAATAGATAAAAAAGAGGGCAATGAAATTATTAGTTAAAATCTGACATTTGATTAAAATGGTATTTTGAAGTTTTGTTTCTGATGTCACTTACTTAAATGTCATCAGTTCACTAGCACTCACTTTTAATAATGAGGCTAAGAGTAGCAATCCTTGTTGGACACAAGAATGGGTGTGAGAAATCGGAATTTCAAAATGTAAAATATCTAGGTTGCAAACGCACTAACATTAGTCGTTACTGGATAGACTGAACAAGGTTCACAGAAATAGGGGTATTATTAAAAAATTAAATACGCCTTCTTAGTGTAGTTATATGAAAGCTCATAATGTACAATCATTTCAACTAGTTATAACCTTTTAGCTAGACTACTAGTTTAATTTATGTATCATTCAAACGAGAGTCAACCTATGCCATTAATAAAAACATTCCTGAATATGGTTAGGCCAAATTCAGAAAAATAAACTCAATCCAATTGAATAAATTGATTTAATGAAGAGACATAAATTTCGTACAGTGAAACTTTAAGACATGAAAGCATGTGAAAAGAACAACATTATGACATTCAGTATGTAATAAACTAAAAAATGCTCCAAATAAAAATAAACAAGACACTATCACTTGGAAAACTTAGTAGAATAAAATAACTCTTCGTACAACATTTATTATTGTTATTTAAGTATGCCATTGATGATTGATAGTTATTGTTTGTTTAAACATCACTGTTTTCACATCTTTCATAATGTTTAGATAGATAGATTTATGTAGTAAATGTACTAAGAAATATTTTCACAAGCATTTATTAACTTAATAATATGAATGATGAGCAGTTATGTCATAAAAAAACTTTTTTAACTGTCTTTGCTTTTATGAATTCATTGTCTGTTTGTGAATATCTTCTTTATTTTATAAGGTTACATTTATTTTACGTTTACCTATTTTTCGAATTGTTGATGTAAAACGTTAAAATTGAAGAATTTTTTTACAGGAAACGTAACCATTTTTCACATGATCTTACTTTAACTATTTAGATTAATATGTCAGAACAAAGAGACGTTTTACTGAATTGATTGAAAACATTTTCCCTTTGATTAGTTACTAGAAAATTTTAAAATGAAGTGATATGAAAAAAAATCCAAACTTGGTCATTTTGATACCGTCTGTTCTTATATTCATTAAAAAAGTAGTTGCTTGATTCTGAGAAGTATGAAAACTTTTGTTTATAAAAATTAGTTTCTATATTTGAGTTTTCAATTTATTGTCTTAAATTAATAATGAATATGTTCGATGATTCGATGTGATCAGCAGAAAGCTAAAGATATAATTTTACTTCATTTATTTACATTCATCATTAAGACAAGCCTGAAACATTGGGGAAGTTTACTCTGTTTTATTGGGCAAAACATATTACATAATTTCATAGGGATATTATTCTGAGTCATTCTTTATCTCAAGTGGCTATCACAGACTAAATCTATGATAGTAAACGTTATCGCGTAATAAACATTTTGTTATCAGTATTGGGTTATGGGGATCGTTGACTATTTATTGAGATCGTAAACTGATCATCTTCAGACCAACTTTAATCGGTTCGTGATCTCAATGAGACATTTTATTGTTTAATACTCACTTTTATTCTAATCCGATATGTCGCAACCAGTAAGATAATATTGACTACAATGGCTAAAGCTTCATAGTTTTTTTAATACATAGTAAAGCAGCAGAACTAAT